TGTGTGTGTGTGTGTGTGTGTGTGTGTGTGTGTTTTGTCTCTCTCTCTCTTTTTTTTTTTTTAATTGTTGAGCTTTTTAGTAAGGCCGATTCTCTTCTCTCTTTTGTTTTAGGCATGGCTTGGGCTATGAATGTCTTATAATTTATATGTCTTTAAGCAGGGCTGTAGGCAGACCAGTCAAGTCTGGTCTATATTTAACCTGGAGTCAATGTAAAGAAACTGATCAGGTGCTCTTGTTGCTCTCCTTCACCAGTTACCACTCCATACACATGCCCAGTTATTCTGTCAGTTGTTCCTTTGGCCAGCCACCCTACACCAAAGTGAAGGAGAAAAAGTGGGCTACCCAGACAGAATGCTCCGATGCACAAAGTAGGGGCAAACCGGCTTTAACGCGGGCAGCTCAGTGAGTGACTCCGGTCCGTGTAGGAGCCCTAAATAGTTGTTTATTTACCTCTTTTTATATTTATGAGGCTTAGTCTCATTAGAGTTTCCTTGGGAATATAGTAAGCAGGATTTACACAAAGCAGAGCAGTGGGGTGGCAGTGGAGGCAAAGAGTTCTGGCTGAGCTTTCTTTCTGAGTCTGTTATGCTCCTTTGGTGACAGATTACAGAAACTATCATGGTTACTCCATTGCATTCCACAAAAAGCACAGCTTCCCAGTTAACCTATAGTTAGTCATCCAATAACACAGTCAGCCCACAGTTGCCCAATTCCGTATGGAGGGGTGGGTTCCTCTCTCAAAAGGAAGGCCAATTTGTTTCACAAAGAGATTTCAACTTCTGGGGGATCAGCTTTATTCCACAGTCCGCCATGTGGCCTCTTTTACAGTTCTCTAACATATATCCTGACAGGGTGGGTTTTGACTCTTTTTCCATATCCACTCTGTTGTGATGATTAAATTTAAATCAGTCTCTCACGTACTTTTGCTTTAGGAACAGTCTGAGCTCTATCAAATTAATAAGCAGTCATGCATATTTTTGACTCTTTTGAGCAACCACAAGCTTTTGGAAGGAACAGCATGAGCTTTTATCAAACCAACAAATAAATATACATGTTTCCTTGATAAGTCACATCTGCTCACTTTCTCAATGTATGTAAACTTTCCAGTTTTGTTATTATCTCTCTTTGTACCCTTTTACCAAGATAAAACCTTTGTTACTTAACATCTTTTCATCTCAGAAATATCTTTCGTACTTAACAGCCTTCTTAATATTTTTTCTCTGTCTCACTCATGATAAATCTTTTGTAACAAGCTAACTTGGCGGTAGCTGCTTTGACTTTAGTATATGTGCTGCCGAAGCAAGCACGCTGCTTTGATTTTAAAGTGTCCCCTTTTTTCCTGTTTTCAGGTTGTTATATTTTAAATTTGACTGGCTGCTGTGAGCAGTAACTTTGAATTAGTATTCTTACCTTAAATCAATGGAGCAGAGAGAAGAGCAAGTTTACCCTAACAATTAAAAAATTTGCAGTGTACAAGACATGTTTTAAGCACATCAACTGAACATCATCTCAAATTGGAAACCAAAAGTGCATTTACCAATTAGCTAATATTTGTAATTTGGTTTGTCTTGTAAAACCTCTTTGTGTCTGTTAGAACACTGTTGCAGTTTTTCAACTTTGACTATGCAGCCCCAGGCTGGGGTTGTTTTGGCTTTCGGACCTTTATAGGCAGTGTCAGACCAGTGAGGCTGAACTTAGGGCTCTAAATGCTGGGAGTGTTTCACTGTTTTGCTTTGTGTTCTTTGGAGCTTTCCCACCTGTTTTAACTGCATTTATTTACGTGTACTCATGCAGTTTTTCATTTCAGATCTTTCTAACCTGGGTGTGGGATTTGTTTAACTCCGCAAGTCTGACTTCCCAGCACCCGCCTGTGCAAGTCATTCTTGTTGGGAGCCTGTCCCACCAGCTGTTTGACAGTTGTCTTGGAGCCACTGTTGCTTGTGGGCTGCTCCTGTGTTCTATTAGGACTTGCAGGTTTCTTCTAACTTCCCCTGAGTCGGAGTACTAGGTACAGCCAGGGAGGTGACCAGGCTCCCCTTCTGCCCTAACAAGACTAGTTCCCCAAAACCTTACTGTGGTCCTGTAGCATGCTGTTCCAGAATCGTCCCAAACCCCAGAAGATTTCTTTTGTGCTGGTGCAGGGTGCGGGTGGGGGTGGTGCTCCTGGGCTACAAGAGAGCGGATTCCCTCTCTGAGCTGAAGTCTCACCTGATGGCACCAGAGGTGTCAGGATTTTCACAGCTCAGAACCCCCTCATACCTGCAGGCAAAGGGGAGAGAGCAACTCTGTTGTCTCCAGTCTCTTTGTGGTCACCAGAAATGTTGCAGAATTCCAAAAGGACAAGAGAGACCAAATGGAAATCAGGAGGATTTATTAGCAACTGAGTGTTTGAACAAAGAAAAGAAAAGTTCTAATTGTTATATATTTAGTCAAAGGAGGGGGTGGTCTTTCTAGTGACATAGTGAGTTTAACAAAACAGGACAAGAGCAGACAGTTTAATAATCTTTAAAATGCCTTATAAGAAGACAGTGTCTTATAAATCAGGTGGGAACACAGTGTCATAAACTTTGTTTATAGAACATCCGCAGGGGTTACAAAATTTTATAGGAATATGACTGTTTACCTTATCAGTACCATGGGAAAGTCAGTAATCATGGGAAGTGGGGGCAAGACCTGTGTGGGGAGCTGCTAGACTGCTTCCATCTAGTAGAACTGATTTTAAGTTCTGCTTTACCTACAGACACGTCCTGTGTTCTGAGTGCTTTCAAAGAATCGTTAATGTCTACTGGTGTAGATATTCTGAATGAACCAAAATCATCAGGGCATGGTGGTGCATACCTGTAATCTGAACTACTTGGGGTGGTAAGGCAAGAGGATTGCAAGTTCTAGCCCAGCCTGGGCAATTTACTGGATCCTATCCCAGAAGAAAACAAAGAGGACAGGGATGATGTAGCTCATTTGTCGAGCACCTTCCTAACATGTCTGAGGCCCTGGGTTCAATGCCTAGCATAGCCACAAACAGAACCAAAATTGTATTTGAGTTCATTAAAACTCCCCATGCAAGGGCCGCGGTTTTAGATCAGTGGTTCTGCCTGCTGCCTCGCAAGTGCAAGGTCCTGAGTTTGATCCCTGGTACCCAGAAACAAAATAAATCCCCAAATTCCCCCTTCAATCTTACATAACAGAACTTACTGAAGTAAGCTTACTGAAGTTAGCTTTTTCCTCACAACACGATATCATATTGTGAGTTTGATTAACTGACACTCCTGTCTGAAACCCCCTCTAGGGCTGCTTCCTCGAGGTACTATCATGAGCACCCTTCTGAGGAAAGTGCTGTGTTTAAGATTTAGTCCAGATGATCATGTTGTTGCGGTTGGTTCTGGAAACACAGTATTCATGCTGGATGTCAAGGTAAGATTTAGCAAACTCAGCAGAGATCCCCAGAGCACAGAGCTGATGGGGCCTCTCAGTGGCCAGATCCTGCCCTTTTTCCTTTTTCTGCTCTGTTTTTATACTGAGAGTTTTAGTTTGATGCATTTTTAGAAAGATGTTAGGGGAAAAAAAAAAGAAAATATGTCTTTATTTTACAGTTTGTATAAAAAATGTCATTAGAACTTTACAGAAAATCTGGCCATTTAGGGATGATCTTAGTAAACATGTTTAGTAAGCTTTTATCTCACATTATTTCCGATGGGGTCCCCATAGTCATCTGAAGGCAGTGCTTCCTCATCTCTGTTGAAATCCTTGGCTCCCACCAAGAACCACACTTCTCACTTATTTTTTAATTGAAAGTAGTTTGAGTAAATGTAAATATCTTATAGCTTGTTGGTTTTAAATCCAGTTGCAACTGCTTGATTCATGGTAGAGTAAGGCCTAGAGTCACAGAGCAGGGGCTGGGACTTGGGGCAGCCTGAAGGAGGACTTTGTTTCCCTGCAATTGTGTCTGCTGGAGTTGCAGTGTGGACATTACCCACAGCTGGTCATGTCTTGGCTCCTGTTTACAGATCAGTTCAGGAAAGCAGAAGTCGTCTCTCTGCTTTGCAGGGTTTGGGCTCCTTGTCAAATTAAGGTGCCCACAAAGAGAAGTCAGCGACCTTGTGTCAGCCACAGTAGGATAGGGTGTGTTGTGCTGGTTGGAAGAGGGCTTGAGGAGTTTCCTGTTGAACAGACTGCTACAGCCCCCAGGATAAGTTGGTGATTCATCTTGGAAGTTTAATGTTTAGGTTTACAGAGGGATACAGTAGTTCTGCATTTGGAAGAGGCGGCTTATAAGTAGTTATTTCAATAGAAGTATTGTACTATAAATAGGGAAATGCTGTGTGTGTGTGTGTGTGTGTGTGTGTGTGTGTGTGTGTTTGTGATTTCTTTATGGAAATAATTCCAAAAGATTCCATCAGTAATCTTCTTCACAACTTCTAGGATCATGCTGTGCTGGTGGAGCTAGAGGGCCATCAGGGCCCAGTGACTGCTGTGGAATTTTGTCCTTGGCAATCACACATGCTTATCTCATTGTCTGAAGACCGAAGCTTTAAGGTAAGGGCAGACAGTAGGCAGTACTCCAAAACCTGAAAAATGCCTATGAACACATAGACGCAGAGCTGTTTGATGGCCACTGCCATATACATGGCTTTATTTCTGCCACACTGCTGTACAAAGGCTATTATCCTGAACTTTCACACAAAAGTGGAGACTTGATGTTCTGGTGGGGATTAGGAGCTGAGTTGGGATTGCTGACAGCACAACTCTGGGCTTTCTGGGATTCTCCTCAGACCTAGGATCTTCAGAGCTGAATTATTAGTTTACAGCCACACCATTTCCTAGTGACCAAGAGCAGAAGAACCAGGATCCCCTATCAGGGAAGCAATCAGAAGTAAAACATGCTTTAAAAGGAAATAAAGTGCAAATTTACCTCCCATCAATCCCGAGTTAATAGGTGTCATTATGATTTACTGAAAAAGGAAGGACCTTTATCTATCTGGAGAGAAAAGTTGAGGGTAATAATGGACAGCAGAAGAGAGAAGTTGTAAAAGTACATCCCTTATGTAGTTCAAAACACCTGCCTGATGAAAACTGGTGAAAGGGCATTGATTTTCCCCATCCTGGAAGTGGCACAGAGGCTTGAATCCCAGTTGTATCACTGATCAGTGGTACTGGGCACACAACCTCCTGTCTCAATTTTCTACTAGTAAAACCCTGGTTTGGAAGCATAGTTTGCTCCGGAAACATAGAAAACAAAGCAAATTTCCCTATAAGAAATAATGGAAACTCAGATGATTCATTTTGCAACCCCCAAATAGTCATATAGACTTGATTACAATACTGTAATAAAATACAAAATATAAAGAAAAATAAATAAATTAACCTGCACTTACTTTTGAAAACCTTCATGGCTGGTGTGAAGGAGACAAGAGAGGAGGGTTATTTCACTTTCTCTGATGGAATCACTGCTGTCTCTTGCCTCAATGGCATCTTTTTCTTTTTGTGCAATTTTAACAAGGAACCTATCCAGTGATACTTGATTTTGCCTACTTTTGAGGATTTTATGGAAATGTGACATTGCATTATCATATAGACAAGTTTGTCACTTACACTGCTATAGCCTTATTCGGGTGGTGCTATTCTACAAAATTTTGCACTTTTACCCACATGTTACATATCTACCTAATCTCATTTGAAGTAAAGACTTCCTCTACCTTGTTCTCTTCTGTAGATGAGATCTCCTCCAAATCTCTTGCTGTTGGGAGACAATCACCCAAAATTCTACAGATAGAGGAGTGGGGCAGAGAGAACCATTAGATCCATTACAATCAGTGATGTTCAGTGTAATGTTATACTTGTATTGCAGGGCATCACTTGTTTATCAATTGAAATTTATTGGATATGTTTGTTTGTCTTTTGGACACTCGCAGAACAAGTTAATCGCAATCCAAGGTTTTACTGTGTGTGAAATGGATAACACAGTACCCTTGCTTTTGGCAGTGGTGAGAAAAAAAGGAATTGAAGTTTTGAAAAGACATCTATATAGCTGCCATAGGGGAAGTAGTGTGTCTGCAGCAAATGTAAGCGATGGTCACAGAAAATAAACAGAACATAGCCCTAAAGATGAGTTCAGTGACAGTCGGGATGAAGCCCTGCAGATGAGTTCCTTGTACAGTCAGGATGCTCTGTAGGAATGAGCTTGATGTACATTCAGGACCCTCTGGTGTGAGAGCACTGCACAGCTAGGATGCTCTGTAGGGTGAGCTCACTATACCCTCATACAGTGAAGACACTTTATAAGGTGAGCTCTCTGTGCAATCAGGATCATCTCTGCAGAGGGACTGCTCTGCTATCCAGTGCCAGGATGCTCCCTAGGTGAGCTTACACTCTCACTCCTCTGCCATGTTGGGTACAGATACAAAGTTGTTTCTAACTTTGTCATAGGATTTGGTTTTAATCTTTTCAGACCCCAAATTTGTATTCTCCTGAAGTATGAGATCTTTTTGTCAGTACTCCAGTGTTACTATTCCAATATTACTGCATTTCTATTGTTTTTAATGCATAATTTTATTTTCTGTTTTTACAGTCATTCACATGGATTAATATATAATTTGGTAGAATTTAGTTCAAGGTACAACAACAATAGAAACATTTTTACCTTCTCTAAAAGAATGTCTCTTTGCTTAAAGGTCTGGGACCATATTATGGGATCAATAATATTCAGCTCATCCATTTTAACAGGTAAATTTGAACTTTTCTACCTTGTACCTGACAGGCTTTCTGTAACCAAATTCTCACCATTCGCCTGCTATCCCTCACGTGATCCTCTCACGTACTGAGTAGATTTGAATCCTGGAAGTTTTTTTTATTAGAGCATGTTAGTTTTACAGACTAGCGTGTTTCATTTGGCTAGATTTTTGCACGCGTGTAACATACTTTGATCTTTTTCACAGTCACGTAGTTAACCACTTTGCCTTCCCCTCCCCATTTCCTTTTTCCTGTAAGAGCCCCCTTTCTCCTTTGATCACCTTTGTATTGATACCATTAGTATCAGGCTCGTGGTTTTACAAATGTTGAAGAACGAAGTCTTGAACCAAAGGAGAAAGTTAGGAGATTTTTATTGGAAATAAGAAGAACAGCTCCTAGATTTTTAGAATGGGTCCTGGATGGGATTCCTGCCTGGTCACTTGATTTGGAGTCACATGTAGGTAAACAGAGCATAGGGATTTCTTAATCATTTAGTGGTCACCTGGTGCAGGTGGCCATGAAGTTAAATGACCAGTTGGAACTTTGGCTCACTCTCTCAGTTTCTTTACATAGTTTTTATAGTAAACTGAGATCTTAGAAAGAACTGGTTATTGTGCATTATAGTTTCCTCAGAACTCAGGAACTTAGTAGGGGTGGACGTATTTTCTTTTTAGGATGGAAAGGCTGTATTTCCTGTTGCCTGAGGAATGGATATTCCTGGCCCAAAGTCCTAGTTTCCTATTTATATTTAAATTTTCATTGGTATGGCTGATTACCCAATTTTTTATCAGCCTTTCCCCCTACCTACTATTCCACTCATAAGCTAAGTAAACTATCTTCTACACTATCTTTTGTTTTTTGTTTGTTTAGATCCCACATATGAGAAAACATGCAATATTTATCTTTCTGAGTTTGACTTATTTTACTTAATATGACGATCTCCAGTTCTATCCATTTTCCTGCAGTGATACCACAGTGGAGTATTATTCAGTCATTCAAAGGAGCAGAACAATGTCCTTGGAGTTTTTAACTTAAACATATGCTTGAAGTCTGAGCTTTTCTGTCTCATAGAATTGAACAAAGCATATTGGCTCTCAGATAAAGGGCCTGGCCATAGGGGGTCCTGTGCTCTCCTGATGAGACTCAGAACGGTGGTATTTGGAGACTGTGCCCCCTAACCCCTCATTCTGAGGCCCAGTATACAGTGAGGAGAGGCCAGCATGCTTGACTCAGTAAGGCTAGAGACATTTGCACAGCTCCTGAATTCTGTGGTAACTGTGCTGTCCTCAACTTGTCTTTTTGGAGGTAAATGAGTCCAACATGTGATCACAGAGGTGTGGGTCCCATCTGTTAAGCAGTAGGGGAGACTCTTGTGGTATGGGTCTCCCTCCCAGAAGGAGGGACCTGGTTAGGTTGTCCTGAAGGGACATCTCTGTGTGTTTCTCCCAGCATCTCCTGGCTGCTGCCCTTGTGCCTGGCTGGCTTCTCATCTGTGTACAGTGTGTTCCTATGGAAGGTCATGGAAGGTCATGTAAGGTAGCAATGTCGCAAGATGAGAGATTTAAAAATGCTATTTAAAGAATATGCAGATAATTTGGCAACTTGATAGTTACTGTTATATTTTCCTAAAGATTCTATATTCTCCCTGAGGTTAGTTTATTCGTATGTAGAATATAGTATCCTAATAATTTGAATACATTTACCAATCTGTGATAAAGCACAGTTCTTGGAAGGATATTGGAATTATTATATATAGAATTTGTTATATGGAATTATTACTTGATTCTCAAGATAATTATAAACTTCATGTTTGTTGTCATTAATAGCTTATTTGGACATATAATGTTTACTTTTTTATTGCTTTTTTATAAAATGATATAATTTTTAAAATTTCAAAAATTTTATTAGTACATGTTTGCAACTCATGGAGTTTGCAATCTTTTTTTATTTTTTTGGTACTGGGGATCAAACTCGGGACCTTGTGCTTGTGAGGCAGGCAGTAGCACCACTGAATCCCCAGCCCTTATAATCGTCTTGGCAAGTGGTTACATGTACATAGCACAGCTTTGCTTCTTTTTTTGGACAAAATATTTTAAAATATACATTTATCTAGTTCTTCTAATTCTTGACAAGTTAGTGTAATTTTAACACATTGACATTTGACATTCTAGGCAACAATTTTAAAAAGCGTTTTATTAGTGCATGCAAATATTACATGATGATAGGTTTATTTTGGGAAGTTGAAACATACAATTAATATATCAATACATTTTAGTCCTCTTGCCTTCCTTTGTTTATCCTCCCCTCTCCTGCTTATCCCCTTCTCTGTCTTCAGAAGTCTACTTTTGGTTTCCTGTCTTTTATGTATGTATGTCTGTTTCTCATATAAGAGAAGTCATGTGACTTTAACTTTTTTTTTTCCAGTACTGGGTATCGAACTCAGGACCTTGTGCTTGCCAGGCAGGCATGGTGCCATAGAGCTAAATCCCTGGCCCTGAAGTTTAACTTTCTGAGCCTGGCTAATTTCACTGAACATGATGATTTCTAGTTTCATCCATTTTCCAGCAAATTACATCCTTCTTTTGTGGTTAATATTCATATGTATATGTACACACATATATTTATATCACATTTTTAATCTGTCCATCTGTTGATGGTCATCAAGGCTATTTCCATAGCTTAGGTATTGTGGATTGTGCTCTTATAAATATACATCTATATTATGGCACACAGTCCTTATTTCTTAATTTTTTTTTTTTTTTGGGTACCAGAGATCGAACTTGGGTCCTTGAGCTTGCAAGGCAGGTGGTGGAACCACTGAGCTAAATCCCCAGCCCCACAGTCCTTAATTCTTTTGGGAACATGCCTAGGAGTGGTATATCTGTGTCAAATAGTATTTCTGTATTTAGTCTTTTGAGGAACCACCATGCTGATTTTCCTAGTGGTTGTACTAGTTTATATTCTCACCAACAAGATTCCTTTTTGCCAACATCTTTGCTGAAAAAATATTTTTCTGTATCCTTGACAATAGCCATTCTGACTGGTGTGAGATGGAATTTAATGTGTATTTAATGTGCATTTAATGTATTTAATGTGCATTTCTTTGGTGGGTAGAGATGTTGAACATTTTTCATGTACTTTTTGTCCCCCTTTAAGAAAAAATGGTTTCAGAATCATTCCGACTTGACAGACGGCAGTACTGTGAGTAAAGGTGATGATTGTGGTCTACTGAGGAGTCTAACTGTGCTTCTGCTCCTTTCCATAGCATATCCTCTCCTGAGTTTGCACATCCATGAGGAGAGTCAGCAGCTCATCACTGGATGCGCTGACGGGCAGGTGAGAGCTACAGAATTGCATACTAGTTTGCAAACATTGCTATAAGTGAACCTGTGCACTGAAGTCTTTGTTTTGATACCGCTTTGAATGTTTTTGTGATTTGTCACTGTGGGGCCAGGGAGGGATGATCAGCTCCTGGGCCCCAGTTATGGTAATCTGCCTGTTCTAGAAGCTCCATGTATGTGTGCGGTGCCAAAAATGTTGAAAAACAGATGTTTAACCTGTTTAAAAAAGTTTTTATCTGAGCATTTTAGGTTTACTTCACAAAGCATGGATATATATTTGGAAGCTAATTTTTTTTACAAAGTCAGTTGTTGTGGTCAGAAGTACTCCTGGCTTGAGGCCTGTGGTGTAGAGGAGTCTGGGCATGAGTTTTGGGGATCTAGCAGGTGGGCATCTTGCAGAGACCTTTGCAGCCAGGGTCACTGCCCCTGTGCTCTTGGTTGATTGTCCATTCTGACAGGTGCTATGAGATCTTGGCATCTCTGGGAAAGGGAAGCCACTGGGATAGAAGAACAGCCAAGCCACATCTCTGAAGGATGGCAAGGGGCAGATTTCTTTGACTTATCAATTTTGAACTATGTTCTCTTCAGGTTTTTACTCCTTATTCCTAAATGCCACCATTAAAAGAGATATGTTTTTGAATGTGTTTGTTTTCACAGCTTTGGGTTTTCAGTTTGATCGAAGGACATCATTACCGCTGCATGGCCCGCATGGACCTGAGGAAGAAAAGTGAGACTTTCTTCACCAGGAGGGAGAAGTCTGGAGTGTACAGCCTGCAAGGTGTGTTGCTTAGGTCTACTTGGGGCCTCCTTGTGTACACAGCACTCATGGCATGATGTGAGGCCTCTGTAAGACAGAGTGGGGAGGAGCTAGGAACAAGAATTTCTCATTTAGGGGAATCCCAAGACCCTAATCTCAGATGATCACCTGGGCCCTAGGAGGCCCTGTAGTGGGAGCAGAGGTTGGGCTAGCACAGGTAAGGTGCCACTGTGGGTGGGGGCTGAAGCTGCAGTACACAGGAGGGCACAAGGCTCTGGGTTGTTGGTGTGGCGGTGGGAGTCTAGTCAGGACAGGTCTGTAGGTCTCAGGGGCTGGGGTGTGAGCGGACTGGTGCTCTGCATAGGTGGCTCAAACTGTACCCTGCCTCCACCTCCAGTCCCCACCTCTGTCCTGCACATTGTAGATGGTACCTCTAACAGCCACCCTGCCGTAACATCCAGGCTCCCACCTCTCCTGTTCATCACAGGTGCTACCTCCTCCATCAGCCCTTTTCTTCAGTTTGTGTTCATTGCAGATGGTTTTAAACCATTTCTGTAGAGCAGAATTACTTTAATGTACTATATGTAAGTCTTAGATGTAATTATTTGTCTTATAAATGACTATTTATTCATTCATTTCAAATGACCCCAAATCTATTCTAGAAAGTGTGGAGTTAGCCTCTAAGTCAACCTTCTCCTCTTCCCTACTCCCCCCACTTTTTTTTTCTATACTTGAAATTCCATCCCTTACCTATCTCTAAATGTAGAGGATAATTTTAGTGTTTACCTTATTTTTTAATATATTTAATCCTAGGTGTTTTTCTGGCTCATGATTTTATTGTTTCAACAACATATACCACGCAGCATCCTGAGTCCATTGTTTTGTCTTTATACTTGATCAATAGGTCTAATTTTGCCTCTCAGTTGACCAGTGTATCTGTTTCCCAGGAGCGAGTGAGCTGGACATGGGAACACAGTCCAGAGTAGCCAGACCTGTCCTGAGCCTCTCACCCTGCCACCTTCCCCACAGGAAGAGCTCTGGAAGCAGAGGGTATGTAGGCACCACAGCAAACCGTGGCAGAAAACCCTTTACACTCCTTCAGGAGCATCAATTTCTGTTCCTAAGAGTGATTAAAATAAAATGCAATGACTTTTGTCTCCAAGTATGTGTTCTTAGAATTGTGTATTTTAAGCTTTAGAGTGGGTGAACTTGGTCATTTTTACTTAAACCTCTTTAACAAAAAGAATTAGCTCATTTTAATTTTGTTTACCAAGTTTAGGCAGATTCTTAACTCCGTAAGAGGACATTTTCTTAGAAAGGGACATGGAAGTCACGTCATTCTGAACCTCCCTTTTCTCTTATGTGTCACAGAGTGTGACCATGGTGGCCTAGAGAATGAATGATTATCCTGAACACTGAGCGAGCTAGAGCGGCTGTCTCATCTGAGAGCACCCCAGCGTTAGGGAGAGTCCCAGGAATAGCATCGGAGCCAAGAACTCTGGCTTTCATTTAGAATATCAGGGTTGGAGCCGGGCGCGGTCGTGCATGCCTGTACTTGGAGCACTTGGAAGCTGAGGCAGGAGGATCACTGTGAGTTCGAGACCAGCCTGGGCTACATAGTGAGTTCCAGGTCAGTCTCAATTACATAGTGAGACCCTGTCTCGAAACCCTGCCCCACAAAAAAGAAAGAAAAATAGTTTTGGTAAGGAACTGTCTCAAGGCTAGTAAGTTTGTCAGGGAAAAGGGAAGGACAATGGCAAGAAACAACATACTTCACTTGTTTAACTATTCACTCCTCACACAGCCTGCGTGGTTTTGCCCTGCATTTTAACCATTCACTGATCGGCCAAGTCCCATATTTCCTTCTTTGTTATTTTACAGGATCAGGGGTTGGGAGGAAGAAAGGAAAATAGCATAGATGGGTATCTGGCTCGATGAACAAAGGTCATGGCCTCAGCATGGAGCACCTGCCAAAGCAAAACACAGGACCTTGAGGACTATAAGAGAAGACAACAGAGAGACAGTTCCATTTAGTAGTAAGAGTCCAGTTGTGAAGACTGAGGCTGTAAAACCAATTTTTTGGGTTGAGCCATAGGCAGTGTCATTAGGGTGATTTAAGGTGATAGTGTGAGCTTCCATTTGTAATTTATGAAGTTGGGCCTGTATTCGATCCTGGGGATCAGTAATCACCTTACTAAAATGTGTATGAGAAGCACTGTGAAGCACGGTTGGGCCTCCTCCCAGGCCTGGGATAGGTGTGATGCCCCTGGAATGGTAACTGGTGCCACACCTAAGCTGGTGATGTGTCCAAAGGGCCTCTTGATGATCAACGAAGTGCTGCTTCCGGTCATCATGTCACTCCCAGATTTCTTTATCATTGTAGGTCTGAGTTAGCAGTTAGTTTGAGCAGTTTAAATGGGATGAGTTAAGGTGGATGCAGCAGTCACTGCTGTAGCTTCTGCATACTAGCTACAATTAAATGCCCAGAAAAAATTTTTGTTTTTCTTTTGGTACTGGGGATCAAACTCAGACCTTGCACTTGGGAGGCAGGCACAGTGCCACTGAACTAAATCCCCAGCCCTCAGAAAATGTTTCTGTCCGATATGCCCTTGAAGTGCTGCAGTAATTTATTTAAGGGCTGAATTTTCTGTCCATTTTTCTGTGAGATTGGTGGGGAATCAAGCTTTGGCTTGTGGTTTCAGTACCATAATATGAATAATGTTTAATTGAAAAATATTAAAAATTATGTATATACCATTAGGACGAGAAAGGAATACAGTAACTGCTATAGTTGGTAGTGGTGACTATATATTGTGAAAATTCTTTTGCCAGGAAATACCATGTGTGGAGTAACAGGTGCCAACCGTTGGAATAGCCAGAGTGACCATAGTCCCTACCACAGTCCCTTAAGGGGCTGAAGGAGAAACAAGTTTTATCTGTATATGAGGTATTATTAGAGGAAAAGGTGGTTTTAGATCTCCCCATGCAACTATGTCAAAGACAGGTGAGGTAAGAACATGAGCCAAATAAAACATGTCATTTACTTGAAGTATATATGTTAGCAGGCTCAAAAGATAAGGAGTCTTAGCAAGAGAGTTATGGTAAGTTACATCCATTTGCCAAATTTCACTGCCTTTTAATCAGTGAGGATTGACTTCTGATTGAGAAATAGATTGAAACTGTTCATGACAGTTGGGACATGTATGAACAGTTTGTTTTGCTTGTTTACATGTGATGTGGAAGGAGCAGACAAAGACTTTTAGCCCCTAGATGAATGAATAGATGAGAAGCAAGAACCTCATTCAGAGAGGTAGAGAACGTAACTAAAGTGTCTGCGTGAGCATTGTCCTCCATTAGGGGGCCAGGGTGGCCGGAGTGAGAACGTATGTGTGTAACGTAAAAATGTGCGATGTTCTCCCTGACAAGTTTTTCAGATGTCTGAAAATGTGAAAGAGTGGCTTATCATTTCTATCATGCACTTTTAGAGTCTCTACAGCATAGGCCAAATCAGCAGCAATATTAAGGGGTTGATCATGAACTTTTTTTAAATCAATAATAATATTGATTAGAAGTTGAATTCATGTAGAATGTTAACAGATAACAATTATAAAGTTTTACAGAGAAAACAAGATCAAGGGCAGTATGACACATCAGCATAGTAATTATGACAGTATATTAAATGACATGAAGAAACTTTTACCCAAATTTGTTATCCTTCAATAGAGTGTTATCTAAGAAGCATGTAGTTCTTCATAGATGTACTTTATGTGATACTGCTTTGGACTATACAGTGTTCAATAGAGTGTTATCTAAGAAGCATGTAGTTCTTCATAGATGTACTTTATGTGATACTGCTTTGGACTATACAGTGTTTGAGCATTTTTAAGTGAGATTTCATTTATATATATACATATATATATATATATGTATATATATAAAATGTCACAAATGACACATCATCACATAAGCATGAGCTTTGAGGAAAAGTATTTGTGTCATTTGGCTGACTGCCTCATGTTAGACTGGCACATATATTTTATCATAAATAGTTGGAAACTAAGGAGAAGCCAGATATTTGAGTTTAAAAGTTTATCATGATCAATAATTTTAGTCTAGAAGTCAGCAGTATGATAAGATGTTTTATATGTTTGAAAACATGTATATGTGAGAAATATAAATATATTTCATGTACTATGAAGTCAGCGGTACTGAGTATCACAGACCAGACTGGAACTGCCCAAGGTGGCAGCTGTCTTCTGTTTCGTTTCCCCTCTCCCTCTTCCCCTCCCCTCCCCCCCTCCTCTTTTCTTTTTTGTCATTAACCAGGCTCTGCTAGTCCTGTAGAAAAGCTCATGTTTAGTATTAATCTCAGAAATGAGGGTTTAAGCCGTTGTCTGAAAGCACCAGTTAAACTGGAGAAGAGAGTTGAGACCTGCAAAGGAGTGACTGGTAACAGTCAGGACCATAGCCTCTAATCTTTTTGGAGCAATGAGGAGCTTTTGGAAGGAATGGGTTGTGCTCAGACTAATGAGAGCAAAGCTTAAAATAACTAAACACACATATTCCTTTCTGTAAAATGTTTACAAATTGGTTTTTGACATCCTTGAGACTTTTAGTTTGACATTATTTCTTTTTCTGTCTAGTAGGACAGAAACTTTATCATATAAGATCCTTTCACATCAAAAATATATCTCTATACTTATAACTTTCTTTGTATCTTCTTCTTTATTCTACTTACTATAATCTTTCTATGACAAACCTGGCAGTTGCCACTTGGATGTTTGTTTGTTTTTTTTGTTTGTTTTGAGACAGGGTCTCACTACGTAGTTGAGACTGACCTGGAATTCACTATGTAGCGCAGGCTGGTCTCGAAATCACAGGTCCTCTTGCCTCAGCCTCCCAGAATGCTGGGATTACAGGCATGCGCCCTCACGCCCGGACACTTGGATTTTAAAGTGCCCTTTTCCTTCTTTTTTTTTCCTCCTTTGGTCTCAGATTGTTACATTTTAAATTTGACTAGCTATCAGCAAATCTTTAAGTAGCCTTGAATAAGTACCCTTATATTTGCTGACGCATCAGAAGAACAAATTAACCCTCTAATGGTAGTGTAAGAATTTTCAACGTGCAAGCAATGTTTTAAGCATGTCAATTAAACAAAAATAAGAACTGCAATTAGAAGCCAAAAGTAAATTTATCAATCAGCTAAGATTTTTAACAGTGGCCTCTTGTAAATCAAGGATACAGTATTTATGTCTAGCACACCATCTGGGACAGTATTCCAGGAAGGATTTCCTTTTTCTATCTTTGTTTCCATAGACCTACAATCTTTGTTTATTTTGGTTGGTCCTTGTGACTGAGCACTTTGAGAGTCACTTTGCTATACATTGAAGAGGAAGTATAGTCTAATTTCCAATTTTAGCTCATGTACAAGGTTATCTGGTCACCGCAGGTACCCGTTTTATCTCCCTCTGCATTGGTTTTACTGTCTTCGGAACAGTAGTCTCAGGGGTTCTGTGGTTTCTGTGTGTAGACAGAATATCTAAGTAGAGTGAGCCACTAAAAAAATGGGCTGGGACATGTCTCCATTTCCCCCAGGACCTGGTCCACACAGGCACAGAATTTTCTGGGCAAACCCCTAATGGTAAAAGAAATAAATTTGTCTAGACCCAAATTGTATTCCAAAGGCAGGGAAAGTGAGGCTTGAATTCATACTTTTCCAAAAGTGGCACTGATAAGCATGCCAGAGTTGAGAAGCTGTGTGTGTTTATTTTAGCATGTAAGATATTTTTTTTCTACTGTAGGATTTTTGGTCCCATTTTTATGTTTATTTTTTTAATACCAATGAAAAACCGTTTAAATTATTGTAGACAACAATAGATTTTATATTTAAGCAAAATTTGATACAGTTTGAGTGGCTCACAGCTTGAATGAAAACACGTCATTAACCTTCAAGGTATTTTTACCTTTTTAAATTTATTTAAATTAACTCACTGTCAGGCTATGTAAAACACAACCATTGAGATGAGGTCTTGTCTGAAAACCCATATAAATAGTCTTTCATGAAAATCTCAGAAAGAGCCAAAAAAAAAAAGAAGAAAAAGAAAAAGAAAAGAAATGCTACATTTAGGTATTTTTAACAGACATTTTGAATGTTGCTTAAATTATTTCTCCTCTTTAGAGAAAATTTGATCCATATTATAGGCAAAGTAGAAGAACTGAAAGTTAAACCAAAGAAAAAGAAAAGAGACCCCCCCACAAACACTGAAAAACCCAGATGAATTTCCCCTGCTTTCCTAGCAGTTGGACAGCTAAAAGACCTCTGGACTAAAAAGACCTAACTTGCAACCTTGCTGAGATATGCCAGGCTATTACTGCATGGCTGCCTGTGTCACCTTACTAGGATGAAAAGTAGGAGGCGTCCTTGTTCCTTTTCCATGCTTTGGGAAGTTGGTCATTCTCTGTGCTGAACTGTAGCTGTAGATGCCCCACGTTGAGCACCACTTGTCGCGGTGTGCTACCATGATAGCATAGAGAATGGATGATTACTTGGAGACAGGACTTAGTCTGAACACTGAGAGGCCAGAGAGGCTATCTCACCTGAGAGCACCCAGTGTTAAGGAGACTCCCAGGAGTAGCATTGAAGTGCAGAACTCTGGCTTTTATTTAGAGTGTCGATATAAGAGAACAAAAACAAGACAAGAAGCAGTTTGGGCAAGAAACCATCTGTCTTAAGGCTAAGCAGTTTGTTGGGGGAAAGGAGAAGGACAGTGGCCAGATACAACATGCCTTGTTAATCTAAACATGTTGTTGTTTAACTGTTCACTCCTCACACAGCCAGAATGCTTTTGCCCAGCAGTTTAACCATTCACTTTTTGTCCAAGGCCCACATACCCATTTGTGCCATTTATTACTTATTTAAAATGAACCTTAAATGAATTTTTCTTATTTATTTCTGTGCGGAATAGAAATACCGCAAATGCATGGCAACATGAGAAAGCGTTGTGTAACTGTGATCAAAGAACACACCTAGTGTTTGTGCTCACCTCTCCCACCAAGCAAGCTTGGATAACCTTAGAGATTAGGAACTCAGCAGAAGAAGAACTGGTTGTTTCTCTAGATGATGGAGAGGGTTTCTTTTGTAGTATTTTTGTCATTAATTTATATTAATTGTACAAATTAATGTGTGTCAGTGTGACATTTCTATACACACATGTGGATTCTCAGAAGATAAATGAGAACTTGGGGCCTATTGTTCTGCATGGCCTTGGTCCTGAGAGTCTAGGACTCCCTGCTAGCCTAAACAGCAGTGACCTAGAGACAGGGAGACAGGCTTCTGCTCTGGGGCTAGTCTTGGGCTACAAGGCTTCTCTAGTTCTATCTCAGAGCAGTGGATCTCTGGAAAGGGTGAAGCCAAGGTTCCAGCATCTGATTTTGTTTTTCAGTGCGTAGTCTGACAGCATAGGATGATGCTGTGTGCTGAGCAGGATCCTGGGCAGTGGGCAGGCTTCTGGAAGTTGTACCGATAAGGCTAGTGGCCAGGGAGTATCCTCCAGGTGGGCTAGAGGGGAGGGCCAAGAGCAGGTACCAGTGGAGAGGGTGGTTTTATGTCTAAGCTTGGCATAACCTGAACTAGGTTTACTGACAGTAATAGATCAGTGTTTGCATTGTAATTAACTCTGCTACTTTGGGCCAATTCATTTCTTCCCTGAGCTTGTTCCTCCTTTGCAAACAGTCACAAGCACCAATAGGTGACCATGTGCCAGCACCTTCACCTGACCAACAGTCCCCTGAATGTGCAGCCCCCAAACTCAGTAACTACAAGAGAGATAAAACTGCGTAGGTCAGAGTTGAGTTTTGGTCAGGTTGTGGCCACTTTGTGTCACCTGTCTCTAGTAGACACTGAAGGCGTACCTAAGAAACCCAGAATGGACTTAAAAAAGTGAGCATAAGTGACAAGAACTTACAACTGCAGTGCAAAAGGAAACACCTTTCAGGTTGTCCCCAGTTGGGAGCACACTACCTGCTGTGGGAGAGGTGAGGTCTCAGATCTGAAGAGCTGTGTGGAGGCCAGGGCATGATATGTTCCTTTTCTTTCCAAATCAGCCTATCCTCTGCAACTGAGTATGCCAGATGCCTGTGGATTGGAAGCTCAGCAGAGTTATTCCTATTTAACTTAGCAAACCTTGAAATGGAAGCCGTTTTACGTTTCAAGGGTAAGACTATAAATTCAATAATCTTTGATATGAAAATCCTGTGAATTGCCTGTTTTCTTGGAACAATATTTTGTGTAGTAAAGACATAGGGGAAGAAACCCTCAGAACTTGAATTTGATAGTAAGTTGCATTTGTAGCAACACAAGGCTTCTTTTAAAGATATCACTGAGTTCTGTAGGCTGAACCCAAAGGATATCACTTTCTATCTCAACATGGGCATTCAGTGTAATCCAACAGCCTTCCTTCATGCACCAGTGTCAGGATCTTGTGAGAACACTCCCCTCGTCCACACGGTCAGACTCCTGTGAGACCCCTGCCCTCATCCCTCTCCTCTCATCCTGCATGTCCAGAGACCCTTCCTATAGCAGATGCCAGGATCTTGTGAGGCTCTTCCTTTGTCCCTTTTCGTCAGCTCCTTTAAAGCCAGCTCCAATGGGCGGCTTCCCTGTTCCTGATGGCTGTGTTGATAATTTCTTCTAAACAGTTCTCTTGGCTGTAGACAAAGTCATTGGAGCCTATGGCTCTGTCTCGGATTGCTAGTCCTGTGCCTTTTCCCAGTGTTTGTCCCCACCAGGGAGTTAGTAATGGCTACCTCAGTACCTGCCCTCCTCTTCTCTATAGGCTGTTCTCCACACCCCTAGTCTCTTCTGCACACGGCCCAGTGGTCTTAAATTCTATCTTGATTCCACCACTTCTTCCTCAGATGTTTGAAGTTTCTGTGGTTTCTGTGACGTTCAGGGCAGAGCAGTAAATTTTGTGCTTGGCCTGGGCCCACACGTCATGTTCTCCAAAGCCCCCTGCTTTTGGCACATACTGTGATGATTTGGCCATTGTCCATCCCCTGAATTCTCCTGACTTCTGCAGAGTGTGTGGAGTGTCACATGCTGCTCCTTTCACGGCCTGGGCCCCTCTGCTCTTGCTGAGATTCTTCTTTGATGTCACTGCCTCCATCCAATGATGTAGGTTCTCCTTGCAAACTCCATTGTCTTCCCGGCTTTCTCACAGCCTCATTCCAATCCCATGTTCATAGTCTGGCTTTTCTACCAGCCTGAGCTGCCAAGGGGGAGGGCCTGTCTCTCTTGCCTTGTCTTGCCCCTGCCTGGTGGGTGGTAGGCATTCATTACTAGGTGGAATGAATCAATTAGCAAGTACTTAGTTCCTTCTACTTATTAAACATTGTTTGTCATTTTTGAAAATTAAGATTTTGGAAGCCTCAGTGTTCAAGTTGCTGGATCATGTGCAGTGATGAGTGAAACTATCAACTATAAGGTCAGTCATGAAACATTTCTTTATTTTTATTCTGTTAAATGTCTTCATCTGTATTTTTTTGGCATATTGTGGCTTGAATTATATGCTAGACAAATGCTTTACCATTTAGATACATCCTTACCCCTTATTTTTTTATTTTAAAATAAGGTCTTGCTAAGTTTCTCAGGCTGGCCTAGAATTTATGATCCTTCTGCCTCAGCCTCCTGTGCAGGTGGGATTATAGACATGTGCCACCATGCCTTTCTCATCTGTATTTTTTTATTTCTGGAGCATATTATAATAACTGACTGTAAATGAGGTTTTATTTGTGATCCTTTTTATAACTGTGTGATGTAGGGAGCAGGGAAAGGGGACGTTATCAGGACCTCTGCCATAGGTCCTTACCTGTGAGCCACCACAACACAAGGTGAATTCAAGAACAGACAGACAAGACTTAAGTGGAGAAGCTGAGTCTTGGGTCCTGGTCAGTGCTGCTGATGGCTGCAAAGACAAAGGCCCCCAAGTGCATCCAGCATTTATTGAAGAAAGGAGTAGGGAGCTAGGGAGCTTTGGAGATGTCTAGTGAGTTACTGCTGAACACCTGGCATGATGGTACCAGGCAAGGCTGTCAGGGAGCAGGCACTGTTTATCTTGATAGGACAGAAGGACCTGGTACTGGGACCAGGCATGATTAGTGAGCAACCCACAAGGTTGGTGAGAAGGAATAGTTAGGGAAAGGATTTTTAATTGGGGTCACGCTTACCTCAGCTTCATATAACTCAGCAGGGCCCTTCCACTTCACAGACCAGGACTCAGGCCTTGGTGACAGCCATTAGCAAAGGAGCAATACTAGCCCAACACTGCCGGCTGATGTGGCCATTTGAGCAGGGCTTCAGTCTGACTCCTGATATAAAACAATATAGCCAAATTATGGAAGGCAAGAAGCAGGTGCAACTCATAGCCTGCTGGTACTGGGCAGGGGTGTCTCCCACAGTGTAATACTTTGCAACAGCTCTTCCCTGTCATCTAACATAGCTATTTGTATAAATGAAGCAGCTTTGTTAATAATCTTACTGTGATTAAATATGGATGTAAAGCCACCATTTCCTTGCCATTCGGTGATATTATTGATTATATCACTGCTGTCTCTTATAGACCTATTGTTTACTCACGTCCATGTTTGAGAATAAGATCGCTGTGTTAGAAATCAACCTGGCAGCGCTTGTGAGGTCGCAGCAGTGTCTTGGCCCTGGGAAAGCTCTCTCCGTGCTAGCAAGGTACAGTCTGGTGAAGCACAGTGTTTCGATGAGTGCTGGTCTGTTGTTAGCATTCTGCATTCCTTTTATGCTTATAAGCAAAGGTGAAATTAGTAAGCACAACCATCCTGACCTGTATGGAACGAATTATCGTTCATGCCATTGCTTCTATCCTGTTTAAGAAGAAATGGCTCATACTTTCATGGGAAATACTACCTTATTTTATACTAGAGTATAAATCATAAAACAGAACTTTTAAAAATATATGAATATTTTTCTTTAAGGATAAGAACAGTCTTAATAGTTTTTATTTCCAGATATTATACATACATATCTGCATGAATTCATGATTTGTGGCTGTCCTTAAAATGTGTGTCTCATTGAAACAGTTCTATCATATTATTGTTTGTTCTTCTCATGTAGTTTTATTTATCTGTTTTTTTTTTTTTTTTTGGTACCGGGGATTGGACTCTGGACCTTGCGCTTGTGAAGCAGGTGGTGGAACCACTGAGCTAAATCTCTGACCTATATGGTTTTATTTTTATTTTAGCTCCTGTGTCCTACCAACTTCTCCACTGTGTTTTGGAGCTTTTAAGGAGAAACGTACTAAACCTGCTGGTCAGAAGCTACATGGTTAGTATGACACTCTCTGAAATATAAAATACAAAGTCAATCCCTGTTACAGCCAGCATTGCTTCATTGCCTGTGGATTCGTATCTGTCACAGACCGTCCAGCTTCCTTCCTGCCTCCGCACCCTCCTTTTGTTGCTTGTGGTCTGTGGTGGGGACTGTGCTTGTGCTTCTTCTCTGCCCTGGGTGTAGTTGGATTCTGTGCTCCAGCGTGGAGTGCTGTCCTCTAGTGGTTAAGAGTGGTATTGCACCCTGCGCTGCGTCATTGCCCGCCCTGGGTACTTCATTGTGCCTTTTTCTCCTACTCTTGTTTTATTGGTTGCACAGATAAGTGGGTTTTATTTTGGAAGACTCATAAGTGCATGTAATATACTTCAATCATCCTCATCCCCTTCCAGAGAATCTCTTTGCCCCATCCTCCCCGCAGTTTCACTTTTTGGGTTTCAGTGTGTACAACATGTTTTTCTCACGTAACCCCTGTACCCACCCTTACAACCCCTGCTTTTCCTCTTCTGCCCTTCCTCTTGCCTAGTGACAGTGTCCCTTCTACATCTGGCCACAGTGACGGTCTATCAAGATTAAGAATAATTCATTGGTTTCTTGTTTGAGTCGGGCCATAATAAATTATTCTTGATTGTCTCGAATGATTTTTTATTGGTTTGTTTCAAACAGCAGCCATACCATCCATCTGTTGTGTTTTTTTCAAAGAAACAATTGAAAAATTATTAGTTACTTTCCTATTGATAGGCCAAAATATCTGACATTCAGTTGAAAGGCGAGGCTTATTTTGGCTTTCCTGAAGATTCATCCCGTGCTCAGTTGGCTTCAAGGCAACAGTGGCATGGTGGAAGGGTGTGGTGGAGGAGAGCGGCCCTCAGCCAGGAAGCAGTGAGGAAAGGGGGGGAGAAGCACCTCCAAATGCACCCTCAGTGACCCACCCCAAGCTGGCCCCACCTCCTGACATCACGCTGAGCCCTGGATATATCACAGTATAGTGATCCAGTCACCTTCCAGAGCCCCATCTGTGAACATGTGACACTTTTGGGGAACATTTGCATTGTTAAGAATCATTGGTAATGATTCATTTCTCCCTTTGGTAATTAATATAAACTTTTAATTAGTTTCATTAAGTCTCTTACTTGACTTAATTAAAAAGATTATGTCCTTCAACCTATTTTCATACTCATAGGTGGCACACTTCTACATCCCCTCAGCTTTCATGAAGGTGCCCCCCATCTCCTCTGCCAGGAAGCCCCGTGCTCTGGCTCCTTCTGGGCCTGCCCCATTCCCCAGGCCTGGGTTGTATCCTTTCTTGCTTGCTTTTCTGGGCCTTGCCACCTGGGCACCTGGAGCTTGTTGTTTTGAGGAATCTTCAAACCTGTGGTGTTGGCCTCCTCTTGAAGCTCACAACACCTGGTGCTTTTTGACCTTGACCATGTGAGGTGTTTGCTATGCTGTCTGCTCTCTGGGTTCACGTGGTGTCAATGGGAACACGGTCAGGGGATCAGGGTTAAAATAGTATCAGAAACAGTACTGAATGTTGTCTCTAAAAGTCCTATTTTTAGAGTCACTCAATATTTTGGAATTACCCATTATAAGGTTACTTTCTAACATACAGAATGTTCATCGGAAATGTCAAGTTTTAAGTTCATGAGGAACTAATTCAGCAAGCAGTTTGTAAACATCTGTGTTCAGTTTATTGGATGCCAAGATTTTTGTTCCTTGGGCATCCTTTGGAAAATGTTCATGTTAAAGACTAGGTGAGTTCATTCCCATTAGAACCCACTGATATAACTGTTAGAGTGGCTTATCTTTGTTTTTCTTCTGCACATGTTCAGCAGTCTTTGTATGTGGAAGACAGCAATACACTGGCGTTTGTCATCTGGCACCCTGCTTCCTCTCCTACTTTTGTTTTTTAGGTATCTTTTTCTTCAGTCCATGTCACATACTGAGCAGGTGCGACTAGAGACTCACTTCAGGGGTCTCTGGCACTTGTGAGGAGCTATGAGAGGTCCCTGCTTATAGAGAGGGTGTGATCCTCACTTACCTGCGGAGATAGTGGCTTTTCTCTGCGATCTTTGGTTGGCATGGACTGGTGTAACTTTGTGGGGAACCTCTTAATTTTATAGGTCAGAACTCATTTTTGTGTGTGTGAAGTTTTCTGCTTTGAAGAGACTGTCTTCCTCTCATGCGTACAATGAAATTGCAATGTTTAATGTTGTCTGCTTCTTTGAAATTGTTTCAGCAGCTGTGCAGAGAGGCACAGAGGCCAGGCCTGTGGTTTTCCATACTAAAGTCAGGTCATTTGGCTATGCAGCAGCACCTCGGTGAGTGTGGGCTTTCGTGTTGCTTATGTAAATAACAAAGCAGAACTTCCATGGTGTAGATGCAGGGTGTAAAGGTGGATGCTCATCATGTGTCCTCGGGAGTCGCACTGTAGAGAGGGGAGACAGAGGTGTAAACAGGAGTTCTTGTGTGATGGGTTAGACCTCAGAATGTCACAGTTCCTGCAACTGCAGGAGTCAACATTCACTTAGTGCTTACTATCGTGTATTCCTGCCTCTGTTCAGTGCACTGAGTCTTTGTCAGATGGAAAGGTGGATTCTGGTGGTAAGGAAGGTGGTGGGATATGGGAATAGGAGAGAGTGATGATGGTTTAAAATGATACAGGCCATTGAGGCCTCACCACTGGGTCCTTTCTTAGAGCATAGCTTTGCTTAACATTGGGATGTTAAAATTCAAGATATGAAAACCGGAGGCAGCCAGTCTGACTGTGTGAAGTTGTTCAAAGACAAGGAAATATGAAACAGCATGATAGTCAGAGGAGCAATAGCAAACTGGAATCCCCAAGTCCTTCATGGGCCTCGAGTTTCTCAATGGAAGATCCTCTTTTCTTTATAAAATATGGATGCACCATCCTGTTCCTCCCCAAGTCCTAGAACTTTTTATGCTTTTGACATAGTGGCCAGAACTGCTGTGTTACCTGGAAGTCTCAGTGGGGTCCCTGAACTTTGATCCTGAGCCCCTTCCATAGGCTCTCTGGGCTCTTCCTGGTTGGGCTCTGTCCTTACTGCTCCCTGCCATCCATCCCCACTTCCAGCTCCAGTCCCAGGGTTCTGCTCAGGCTTCCTCCAGGCCTCCATCCCAGGATGCTCTGCATGTAACCACAGCCTTCAACATGCTTCTCAGTCTTTCCCTGCATCATTCTTACGTTTTGGCTTCATCAGTGATCACTATGACCATGTTGTACTTACAGTCTGTTCTTTATACTCCATTACCTACACTTTGAACTCTCTTGTAAGACACTTATGAATGGATGGATGGAGAAATGTATAGATGCCTGAATGGAGAAATGGGTGGTGGGTGGGTAGAGGAAGGGATGGATGGGTGGAGATACGGAGTGATACAGGGTGGGATAGACATATGAATGGATGGATAAAGAGATGGACAGGATCGAAGGAAGGATGGAGATGCAGATTGAACCCAGGCCCTGTCACATACTAGACAAGTGCTTTATCACTAAGCTACATCCCCAGCCCTTTTGATTTTTTTTTTCTAATTTTGAGACAGAGTCTCAAACTGGCCTTGAACTTGTGATTCTTTTTGCCTCTGCCTCCTGTGTAGCTAGGGTTATAAGCATGCACTGCCATGCATAGCCTATATATCTCTTAGGAAATTTAGGTTCTCAGTCTTTGAGAGTGATATAAATTTTCTTTCCACAGTAAAACTATGTTTTCACCAAAGACTAACATCAAGAATGATGGTAAAAGATCTTCAAAATGCAAGAACAGTTATAAATGGTATGTAATCTAGTGTGTAGATTTGAAGTAAATTTTAAAGGTCTCCCTTCTGACCAGCAGGGACTGGCCCTAACTCTGTGAATAGATGCTTCTTCAGGTGCCCAAGAGTCCATACAAGAGAGCTCTGTCCAGGGCTGGGGGTACTGATCTTAATGGTCATTTTAAGTGCATCTTATCTATGATTGGACAACCAATACATTTGCAGAAAGGCTTAATGGAAAATTGATTTTTTTATTAATGCATTAATTTTACATGCTAATGTGGCTCAGTGTGATATTTTAATATGTGCATAGAGTTTACACTGATCCAAATTCATCCACTTTATCTATTCTTCTCACTCTCCTCCCAATCTCTAGCAATCACTATTCCATGTCAGCTTTTTTTTAACCTTCTACACCTGAGAAAGAACATGCAGTATTTGGATGTCTGTGCCTGACATATTTAACTTAACACAGTGTCTTTCAGTTCCATTCATTTGCTGCAGATGATTTGATTCTTCTTTATGGATGACTGGGACTCCACTGTGTTTATACACTGTCCTTCCTTTACCCATTCTTTTGTTGACAGGCTTGTATGCTGATTCATTTAACTATTTGAATAGTGCATAGGCATGCAGGTATCATTTTAGTATATGGATTTCATTTTCTTTGGACATATATCCAGAAGGGGCTTAGCTGGATCACATGCTAGGTCTACTTTGAATTTTTGAGGAACTTCCATACTGGTCTCCATAAAGGTTATACTAAGTATTCTACAAAGGGTACATGGAAGTTCCTTTTCTCTCCATCTTCACCAGCATTTGTTATTGTTTGCCTCTTTGAAGATGGTCATTCTAGGTGGGGTGTGATGCTATCTCATTGTAGTTTTTATTTGCATTTCCCTGATGACTAATGACATGGAGAATTCTTCATATATTTGTTAGCCATTCTTATTTCTCCATTGTAAAGTTTTACTAGTCTGTATGAGTTATGTAGAATAGTGGGTTTTGTTTTGGCATATCAGTACATGGATATAACATATTTTGATCATTTCACCCCTATTACCTCTTTATTTGCCCTCCTCCTTCCCATAATTCCTTTCTCTAATAGCTTCCCTTCTATTTTACTGTCATCTCTTTTTTTTAATTAAAGAAGTTTAGATTCTATGTATGAGAGAAAACACGCAATATTATTTTTCTGTGTCCTATCTTGTTTCACTTAACATGATGATCTCTAGTTTGTCTATCCTTCTGCAAATGATATGATTACATTTTTCAACTTTATGATGGTTCAAGGAGAATACATACTCAGTAGAAAGCCATTTCTGACTTTGAGCTCTGAGAGTTTCCTGTCCTAGTGATAGGCAGCATGGTCCTCTCTCATGATACTGGCCAGTGGCACTGTGCTGCAGCTCCTTGGAAGTCCCGTGATCACGTGCAGAGCAGCCAGTGCCCTCAGGGTGGTGTGCTGCCAGCATGTTTTAGATGAAAGTATTCAATAAATTACGTGAAATATTCAGTGCTTTTTGTAAAAGGGGCAGCATCGTGCACAAGACATGAGTCCTCCACTGCACTGCTGGGGAGGGAAGCACAGTGTGTCTGATTATGAGCAGGCACCATATTTGATAACGATGACACCCACTGTAACTGGTTTATGTATTTACCCTGCTTGGACTTGTTATTTGGAGTGTATTTCTACTTATTTAAAGCAGTGTATTATAAAGGAATCCACCACCTGCGCTGGTGGTAGCCTTGTGTTCACTGCATCTACTGATTGGATCTGATCTAATTCTCATGTTGTTTTGTTCATCATGGGTCTGGGAGCAGTGGCAATCCCATCAGGGTGTTTGGATCATGTGTTCTAGTGTGTGGTGGGCTCCACCTCTCACTGCGGATAAGTGCCACCCATTACATACACGCAGCGTCAGGAATTGTCTAATGATCCATTACTTGCTGTCATGTCCTATATGATTGTATGCTTTTGGGGGTAATATGGAATGTGAGTCTTTGTAAAGAGTTATTGCATGAATTTGAATATAAGAGTTTGTGTTAGTGGAGTAAATTATACATGTATATGGGTCAAATCCACTTTACTTTGCTTATTTTTAATCTCACTTGAAATCCTCTCTTGGTTTTTATGATTTGATTTTCCTTAAAGTGAGGAATACCCTTTGGAGAAATCTCTGCCAAGCAGACTGAGCAAACAGGTGGCTGTGGCCCAAGAGCCAACTGCTGTGAGCTGCATCCAGTACTCAGGTAGGTGAGCTCGAGGGGCTGCCCCTGTCTCATTGTATCCACTGTCCTAATGTGAATATGTTTTCAGCTTGGAACTTGAAGCGGCATGGCAAAGTGTGAGTCCAGAGCAGGGTGAAGCTCTGTCCACGCCTGGCGCACCAGGGTAGTTACAGAACTGTGCTCCAGCGTCTGTACCCAGGACCCCCTCCCCCACTGTCCCTGCGCACCACCTCTTCACACACACAAGCTCTTCTAGGACCAGGTTTGGCAGAGGTGTCTTGTTCCATCCGAGATGTGGCGTGGCTCTGGTGCACAAGGAGGCAGCATGCTGGCCTGTGAGCTGCATCTTCTTGACAGACCCTCAGTTAGGTCGTGTCCCTCAGGGCTGAGTATTTCTTGACTTTCCCAGTAGCCGCTGTGTTCCTTGTTAAATGTTTGAAAGAAGTTAGGAGGCAGCTGGTGAGGGTGCCTGCAGCTTCATCTGGTTAGTGGTGGTGAATCTATGGCATGTGTGCTGCCGTCCGCTATTGTGATTGAAAGCTCCAAAAGGTTTGCCATTGCTAGTCTAGGTAGTTCCACTGTAAACTCCTTCCTCAGAAGTAACGTTTGTTGTCAGCTGTGTGCTGCATTTACCTTTTATTTCCTTCCACAGGTTTGGACATTGGTTTAGAACCACAAGTCTGAGAATGAATAGAGGAAATCTAAGTTTTATTTCTGTCCTGTTTTAGGGAAACATAACTGCATAGCTAAACAGCCCTCTTAATCATTCTGTTGATGTGGAACAGGATGTACCACGGCATGTGGGGTGGGCAGGCTGAGTGGTGGGAGCTCTGGTTCAGCTTCAGATGTGCACCGGATCTGTGGCCTGAGGTTCAACTGTGACCCTTTTGTTCCTGTTCTATAAACGAAGGTAACGACAGTAATGGTGTCAGCTGCATTATGAGGTTTTGAGGAGGTGGCATGAAGTCCTTCTGAGGAGTGACATTGGGCGTGGTACCTGGCAGATCACCCATGCAGGGTGGTGGGTGTTTGAGAGAGCTGGTGAGTCTTGTTGGTGGCTGTTTCAGATTCCCTCCCTACCTGAGAAGATTAACATCAAGCTACTTAATTGTTTTCCACTTTGCCTATGGACTTATAAGGCAGGGCTCCCATTGGTTATGATTCTACAAGAGTTTTTATGTTTTTAAACAGGAAATGGACAGTGGCTGGCCTTTGGCTTAGCTAACCATCTCTCCCTGGTTTTGGATGCCAGCCTTAGTGGAATACCTGCTGCTTTTTCAGGTAAAATGTGTCTTGATCTAAAGAACATGAGTTTGAGGGATTCTGGCTGTTCCATCTAAGTGCACTGTGTCTGCTTCTCAAAACCACAGCTTGGAACTGAGGTTTGAGTAGGGGACATAGAACAGTATGTGCTGATCATCCCCACAGCACTGAGCCCTTTTACTAAGCAGGGCCACGTGCATTTTGTGAGAGAAAATCACAGCCAGCTTCACAGCCGGGCCCAGAGGGATTATATTTTCTGTGGTTTTACCTTCCTTTGTCTTTTTCTACTTTTATTCTTACATGTTTGTATCACCTAACCCTTATGTTCATAGTGAGGAGTTGGTATATATAAATATAACACAGCTTATTCTTTTCACTTCCTTTTCCCCTCTCCTCTCTTTTTATACGCCCCTCCTTCCCATTTGCAAAACATGTTTCCTATTATATACCTTTTATTTTCCTTTTTATATTATTTATACGTTGGGTTTCTCATAAGAGAAAACATAACATTTGAGCTTGTGCGTCTCATTTATTTCACTTAAGATTATGGTCTCAAGGTGTATCCATTTTTCTATAACTGACAAAAAAATTATCCTGTTTTATGATAGAGTAGAGCTCTATGTGTGTAAATACCACATTTTGTTTATTCATTCATCTGTTCATGGATATATGGGCTGCTTTCAAGATTTAGCTATTACGAGCTGTGATGCTATACATATGAGTATACATTTATTCCAGTAATATTTTATCTTTAACCCTTCTAGGAAGGTACCTAAAAAGGAAACAGCTGTATCAAATGGAATATCTAGTTTTAGTTTTTGAGGAATTTTCATACTAATTTCCATAGTGGTTGTACTAGTTTACATTCCCACCAACAGTGTAGACGTGTTCCTTTTCTCTCAGAGCCTTGTTAGCATTTGTTATTGGATTTCTTGATGACAGTCATTTTTTGGAGTAAGACGGAATCCACTGTGGCTTTAGTTTGCATTTCTCTATTGGCCAGAGATGCTGAACATTTTTTATGTATTTATTGGTTTAATTTTTTCAGTTCTTCATATATGCTAGATATTAGTCTGCTCTTTGAGAAATAGCTGGCAAAATTTTCTTTCCCATTCTACAGGTTGTCTCTTTACTGTTTTTTTTTCCTGTGCAGAAACTTTTCAAATTGGTATGATTCCATTTGTTGATTGTTGATGTTATTTTTTCTGCAAAAACTGGGGTTTTGTTCAGAAAGTCCTTGTCTATGCCCATGTCTTCAAGAGTTTTTCTTTCCAGCAGATTATGTTTCTGTTTTATCACTTAAATCTTTGATCCATTTTGATTTTAGTTTAATCAGAGTCAGAGCTATGGGGTTTAGATTTAATCTTCTGTATGTATTTAACCAGTTTTCCTAGCATTTTTCTTTTCAAGAGGCTATTTCCTCCAGTATGTTTTTGGACTCTCTGTCAAAGATCAGGTGGTTGAATGTATCTTGGATCATTTCTGCATCCTATATTCTGTTCTATTCATCTGCATGTCTTTTTTGGTGCTACTGTCATGATGAGTTTATCATCATAGCTCTGTAGTATAACTTGAAATCTCAGATTGTGATGCCTCCTTTTGCTCTTGTTCCTAGGATTGCTTTAACTACTCTGGGTCTCTTCTGGTTGCACCTACATTTTAGAATTGCTTTCTTGAGTTCTGTGAAGAATGCTACTGGTATTTTGATTGGAATTGCATTGAATTAAACAACTTAATACTTAAATCCATTATACATCAGTTGTAGAAGTGTTCCCACTTTGACAAAATTCATTTTGCCTGTGTAGGAACAGGATATCTTTCCATTTTCTAATGCTCTTTTTGATTTCTTTTTCAGAATTCTGTAGTTTTTATTGTAGAGGTCTTTTGCTTAGGTTAATTTTTTCCCCTGTGTTATAATTGTGATCAATCTTTTTGATTGTGATCCGTCTTTTTAAATGTATATTTATTATTTTAAAAAATTCTCAAGTATTTAATGTTTTTAATTTTTGAAGCTGTTGTAAATGGTGGTGTTTTTCTAATTTCTTTCTCGGTGGGGTTATTGTATACAGAAATGCTATTGATTTTTGTGTGCTGATTTTTTTTTACTGAATTTGTTTATTAATTTTAAGAATACTTTGGTGGACCTTTTTGGGTCATCTGCGTAAAGGATCTTCTGTAGGTAAAGACAGTTTGGCTTCTTCCTTTCAGATAGATATATAGATACAGATATAGATATAGATACAGATAGAGATATAGATTTCATTTCAGAATGTGTACACAGTAGCAGAGATCAATGACAAAGCATTTCTCAAAAGTGATAATATACTGTACTTATTTTTAGCTTTAAAGAAATTTAATGTAATTGAGTTTTACATTTTGGCCAGTCAGGATTCCAAGTGATCAATATATGGACCACTTCTGAATTTAAAAGATTGACTTTGTATCTTTTAGATTGATTGTCTTAATTAGTTTACTAAATAACCTTTCTCTAAAATTTAAAGTGAAACATGCTGCTTAAGACAAAATTGAGTATTTGAGGTACTAATTGAAAGTTAAAAATCTTTGCGTCATAGAACAGAAATGGGTAAGAATGATACATGTTGAATGTTAACTGGTATTTTCACAGGTTTGACTTATTCCTTCATGAAGTTAGGACATTAGGAAAAGGTGCACTTAATACAAATGAAAGAGATAAGCAACTGAGACCTAAATTTTGACCTTTGATTTTTAAATAATTTTTTCCTATAACCTTTGTCAATAAAAAATCATTACTGTTTAAAAAAACAAAAAATACGATATTGGCAGGTTTGCCATAAGTTATTTTTATAAGTTTGAGATAAGGTCCTTCTGTACCTATTTTCTTCAGGATTTTTATCATGAATAGATGTTGGATTTCGTCAAAGGCCTATTCTCCATCTGTTGAGATGGTCATGTGATTTTGTTCTTGCTTCTCTGTTTTTATTGCATTCATTGATTTGTATATGTTGAACCATCCTTGCATGTCTGGGATGAAGCCTACTTGGTAACAATGTATGATTTTTTTGGATGATATGTTGTATTCTGTTTGACGGCATATTGTTTATGATTTTTTTCATCCATATTCATTAAAGAGATTAGACCGTAGTTTTGTTTTTTGTTGTTGTTGAGTCCTTTTTTAGTTTGGGAATCAATACTAGGTTCAGGAATGAGTTTGGCAGTTCTCCTTCTATTTTAATTTCATTAAAGAGTTTGAGGAATATTGGCATTAGATCTTCCCTGAAGCTGTTGTAGAATTCAGTGGTGAGTCCATCTGGTCTTGGACTTTTTAAAAAAAATTGGTAGGTTTTAAAAAATTGCTGCCTCAATTTCATTGCCTGTTATTGGATTATTGAGGGTTTAAAAATCTTGCTACAGTTTTGGTAATTCTCTTGTATCTAGCAACTTAGCCATTGCTTCTGCACTCTCCTATTTATCAAAGTACAGGTTTTTGAAGTAGTGACTAAACTTCTGGATTTTGGCAGTGTCCATCATGATTTTTGCCTTGTACATTTCTAATTACATTACATTGATACTGTTTTTTTCTTTTATGTGAGATTGGCTAAAGATTTATTTTATTTATTCTATCAAAGAACCAGTTCTTTGATTCATTGATTCTTTGCATTTTTTTAGTCTTCATTCATTTCTGCTCTGATCTTTATAATTTCTATTCTTCTACCAGCTTGGATTTGTATTATTCTTGCTTTTCTAGGACCTTGATTATTTAGTTAGGCTGTCTGTTTTTCTCAGTAAGCATTCCATAATAAATTTCCATGTAAGGACTACTTTCATTATGTCAGATATTGTACTGGCTGAAGTATTTTATTCTAGAAACTGTGTCATTTCTTCAGAGAACTATTGATTACTCTTGAGTATATTGTTTAACCTCTGTGTATTTGTATAATTTTTATGGTTCCTTTTTCTATTGATTTATAGTTTCATTGCACTATGATCTGTTTGTTGCTTAGGATAAATTTGATTCTTCTGTATTTAAGCATTCTTAACGGGCTAATATTTTGTCTATTTTGGAGAAAGTTTTATGTTCTGCTGTAAAGAATATGTCTTCTGTTGTTGAACACTTCCTAGATATCTTTTAAGTCCATTTCTTTGAAGGTGTGGTTCAGCTCTGATATTTCTTTGTTTAGTTGATCCATCTGTCTGTGATGGTGGGATATTGTGGTCCCCAGCTATAATTGTGTTAATATTTTTCTCATCCTTTATGTCTGATGCTTTGTATTTTATGAAGATATGTTTCTATTTTTGGTGCATATATATTTATAATTATCATCTCTTCCTGTTGAATAGTTCTGTTAAAAAATTTGTAATGACCTTCTTTGCTGTTTCTGATAAGTTTTAACTTTTAAGTTCATGTGGTCCGAAAATAGGATCGCTACTCCTGGTTGGTTTTGGGGGTTCCTGATGCATGAGATATTGTTTTCCATCCTTTGATTTTCATTGTATGAATTTCTTTTTAGAGTAAATGATTTTCTTTCATACAACATGCTGTTGAGTATTGTTTTTTGATGTAGTGTGCCTATTTCTGTCTTTTTTTTTTTTTTTTTTTTGGTACTGGGGATTGAACTCATGACCTTGCACTCGCGATGCAGGCACAGTGCTACTGAGCTAAATTCCCAGCCTTGCCTATTTCTGTCTTTTGTTTTTGGAGTTGAGGCCATTTACCCTGAGAGTTATTAATGAAAGGATTTGACTTATTCCTGTCATTGCATCATTTTCCTGTTGCTGATTCCCTTCTCTTCTATTTAATGGCTTACCCTACCTCATGAATTCATTTTACTAGATTTTTTGGTATTGTTAGTTTTGTCATCTCTTTTTAGGACATCCTTGAGAAGTTTTTGAAGTACTGGTTTGGTGGTCATTAATTTTTTAAGGTGCTCTCTGTCATTGAAAGATCTTATTTCTTCATCAATTTTGAAAGATGATTTTTTGGGGATTTCTTTTTTGTTTAGGGCTTGAAACTGCATTCCAAGTTCTTCTGGCCTTTATGGTTTGTGTTGAGAAGTCCGCTATAATGTGAATGTGTTTACCTTTATTGATGATTTATTGATTTTAGCTAACAGTTTTTATGATTCTGACCTTGTGTTGGACTTCTAGGATGTTGACCATAATCTATTGTGAAGAAGTTCTTTCTTGATTGTGGCTGTTTGGGATTTTATATGCTTTGCTTATCTGTATGTTACTTTTCCCAAACTTGGAATGTTTTCGTCTGATTTCTTTAAATAGAGTTTTCATGCCATTCATGCTATCTTCTGATTTTTCACTAATTCACATTAATCTTAAGTTAATCTTCTTTGCATCATCTGGCAGCTCTTGGACCCATTTTCCACGATCTCTTGTTTCTAAGGTATTTCTGTGTATGTGGTCACCTGCATCAGCATTATCTTCTAGTTGTGATACTTTCTCCTCACATTGGTCATTTTTGCTGCCCATACTTTCTATAGAATTTTTTTTTTATGTCCTAGATTTGTTTGTTTCTTTTTATGGACTCTAATTCCTTGCTAAACTGGTAATTGATGTTTTATATATTTTATGTAGCTCATCTAACTTTTTATTGGTGTTTTCTTTAAGGTCACTGACCATTTAGTTATTGTCATCTTTGAGCTCACTGAGCAGCATATTGATCTGGTTGTTTTGTTGTTGTTGTTTCCATTTCTATCAGTTCATATAGTTTGGCTGCTCGGCTTTTGATTTCCTCACCATTAGTGCCTCATAGGTCAGCTTTGGGGGAGTTGGGGTTTTATGAGAATTTGATTGCATTGTTTTCTTATGTTTCTATTGCTTACTTTTGTGCTGAGGGTTGAAGATCAAGTATAGTGATTTTGTTGTTCTTATAGGGATAATTTTATCTAGAGTTTGCTTTCCAGTGATGTGCTTTGGGTATGACTAAGTATAAGTCTTTATTTCTGTCCAAGATCCAACCACCTTCATTAATTTGGGGAGGAGAGGATGCAGTGTAATTTTCTCCACACCTATTTCTCTGGAAAAGAATTGCAGAAATGTTGGTGACAAAAAGACAAACCAAATGTTGGCATACAAAACAGCCAATTAATAGCACCATCTGTGCCATCACTGGCAATAGTAAAGAAATTAGCTACAATAAGAGCCAAAGACAAACTGGATGTTGATGTACCATAGAAACCAATAAAGGCCATCAGTATACCACCTTTAATAATAGAAGTCTGTGATAATAATCTAGACACAGAACAATTAAAATATTGATGTACAGTAAATATATACTAACTGCAACAACCCTACCACCATTAACAATAGAAAAGAGTTCAACAATAATAGCATAAAGTCACTTAAGTATCTAAAGGTGAGTAATGCTTAATATTAATGCTAACAAAAGTGGAGGGAATAGGGAGCTACAAATCTAAAGATGTAGAATTTGAAAATAAAGGAAGGAGGATGAGAAGGAGTCAAGAAAAGTGAGATGAAGGACTTAGTGAAGTAAAACTAAATTAATATTAGATAAAAGTAACAGAATTTAAAAGAGCAAACAAACAAATGAAAAAAAGATGAAATAACAACCAAAAGGAATAAAGAAAAAAGAAATAGCAGAAAAGAGAAAGCATCCCCTGAAACCCAACAAAGAAAAAGGGAAATGAGTCAAAAAGTTCCTCCATGTGCTTGAATGAGTGGTTTCTTTCCAGAGTCTGCATTTCTGGAATCCACCAGATATGGGGAGGGACAGTGCGTCACCACTCAGCCCTATTTTGTTTCCACTCTCACAGTTTTGTATGTGAATGCTGAGTCCTGCCCAACCTTTCCAGTTGGGTTTGGTCCATCAGTGGTGTTTACTCTAGGAGTGTATTTATTCTAGAAGCTCCCAGTTTCTGTTTCCTCTGCACCAAGCCACTGCTTTCTCCAGCTAGCTTTATAGCCTGTGGATTTGTGAGGTACCATCCTGTTTCAGAGGCTGTGGCAACTGACCTAGCCAAGGATTATCTAATTGTGCTAGCGGATGAGGAAAGCAGACCAATGACCTCTGTGCTGGCTGCAGGCTGTGGGGCAGGGAGGTCAAGCAGTATGCTAGATTCAGCACTTTTAGACCGAGGCTGCACACCCGACCCTGAAAACCACATGCAACCAGCCTGGCTTCTCACTGCCAAGGGTGGGATCCCTCATCCCTTCAGACCTGACCTTAAACTTCTTAGGGCATCTATAATTAGCCTTCACCTTTCTCCAAGACTGTCTCTTGTGGCCATCTCCCATGCTGTCATTGGTAGAGTGACCCTGGAAACCCTGAAATGCAGCTCTTCTGTGGCTTCTGGATTAGCTCCATTTTAAAAAATCAACCCCTCCCCCCAAAATCCCCTGATTAAACACTTTCAAATATGGTGGGCTTTGCACTGAATTTCTTCTGCAATACTAGCTTACCATGTGGAAGGAGTCACTTTCAGAGTAAAACTTCACGTTGCTTTTACAGTTTACAATAGCCATGGGCTTTCTCAGGGTCAGTGCTCTCAGTGCAATGTGTTGTTTTTCCTTGGGACTGAAGGTAGGGCACACCCAGAACCTGTAGTTCGAGGGCAGGAAGAGGGCACCCCGCCTCAATTTCCAACGCTCAGGCTTGTGCCTGCTTTCTCCTGGAGTCATTGCTGTCTGGATGGACAGCGGATGCTGTGAAGGCAGAGGACTAAGAATTAGTCTACCCCAGGAGTTTCCATCTGCTTGAGAGGGCAGAGCTGGGAGAGTGACTACAGGTTCTCTCCTGGACACAGGCATGAGCATGCTGGTGTGGTGTGGGAGACAGTGAGCCACACAGCTGGCCGTGGAGTTGCTGTAGAGGTCAGACAGAGGAAAGAAGGGTGAAGAGATGTAGCTGATGCTCAGTGAGGCTGTCATAGATTCTAGTTCCTAGGAAGCCTTGCCCTTCCTTCCACTGGGCCTACTTGTTGTTAACAAGGCCACAGCCATGCACCAGGGGGCAGCAGAGTCACAGCAGACATTCTGCTCAATGGAGTTTTAGATTTTTTTTTTATCTTCCCTGGTTTGTCCATTTGTATTTTGGTGGTTTCCTGACAGATGTGATATGGTGATATATGTGTGGTCTGATCTTTAAATTATCATGTGTGACTCTCAGGCACAGGACCCTGCAGTGGCTAGTTTTCATGCCCTCTAAGGTTTTCATTTTCCATTGTCTAGGTCTGGGCTATGATGGGATAGTTTAACAAGTCTAGGGTCATTGGCTGTATCTCTTCCACACACTTCATGCCTGCTACTGTCCCTCCAACGCATTGGCCCTGAGTAGATCTTTGAGACATCACCTCTGCCTTCTGCTCATGCCTCTCCTGCTCCTCAGAGCACTCAGGTGGTTGCATCTGAGGACACTGCATCAGGCTGGTCTCCTTTGGCTCATGGCCCTTCTGAGGGAGTTAGGCCCAAGACCATATGTCCCCAACCCAAAACAGGGTGGGTGCAGATGGAAGGAGGGATACTAGACAGAAAAGTTTGAAAGGCAAGTGGAAACTACTGGGGTCTTTGGACCACAGCACCTCAGTGTCATTACACCAACCAGAGTGAATGCCCAGGAAACCAGCCCCCAAACAGGCATGTTACAGATGGTAGTTGGCATGTGATAATGCTCTGGGAACCCGTTTTCTTCATTATAATAAAAGAAAAGCAATTTTTTAAAAGATGGATAACTTACCTCAAAGTCCTCTGTACTGTTTTCAGATGTTTTATTTTCTAATGTTCCTTTTTAAAGCATATGCTCACAGATACACACATGATTTTGAACTTTGTATTTTAAGAAATATGAGCTTTCAGAAACACCTCCTTTAGGAGCTGTGTTAATTAAACCTCTAAGTGAAGTATCATCTTGGAACTGTGGTTCTGTTGGTGTCACTGTAGCTAGGAAATGCCACCATGTGTGTTATTTACTCCTTGAAGAAAGGCAGTTTAGGTTTTTTTGGCAAAGTGCAGACAGATGACACTTTCTGTCCTCTCTCCTTGCACTGGTTAGGTCATGACGGAGCTGTGAGTTCCATCTGCTGGAGTCATGATGGGAGGTGGCTGCTCTCTGCTGCACGGGACTGGACTCTGAGGATGTGGTCAGTTAGCAGGAAGAAAATCATGCTGCTTTTGGTAATGCATGCCCTATCTGCTGAGGAGCTCTGGTCATGTGGTCTGGAGCACTCCCTGGCTGGGAGTGATGTTGGAGGCCCCACAATTACCTTGATCTTGAGGTTGGGAAATGGACATAAACCAGGAGTTTGCTTCACTGCAATAGAGATTGCAGAGTGATTCAGTAGTTTCTTATATGCATTCATTCACACATGATATGTGCACCCACGTGATATATGTACCATATATGTAATGTATGCATATATGTAAATATAGTTAACATATCTTTATATTTATTATGGTTGGCAAATAGCAAAACAATGCTGAAATACTTGACTAATTTGAAATTCAAGTTATTGATTTTTGTAGTAATAATAATAATGGCCAAGAGTATATTATGCCAAGGAAGTGTATTTTGGGGAGTAAAATTAGTTGTTTTATACAACTTATATGAGATTATTTGGAAACAGAATGGGAGAGGAGAGAAAAAAAGATTGAAAAAAATTGTAATAACTAAGAAAGGAAAAGACCATAGTAGAAAACTCATTTTCAGTTAATTAAATTATATCCTGGTGATTGCAAATGTATAAATCATGAAATTTTCAAAAGTCTTAGTATTTCTTTTCTTTTCTAAACTTTTTTTGTGTGTATTAAATGTTTTTAATCTTAAGAAGAAGGCACAGAAATACATATTACATTATGGTGAGGCAGTATTCTACATGACAAAAATCAAAACAAATCTATAAACTAAATTTGTAATAATGCACTGATTAAGCATAATATTTGATATTAAATTCAGGCTGCATAGACATAAAACATTATTACCTTAGGCTTATGCAAAATAAATTATTTCTTAAAACACCAAAACGCAACCATTCTAACTGTCCACTGCCTTATTCATTTTGAGAGAACTTGTACATATTATAAAAAGAACTGGCACAACAGTTAATGACTGCAAAAAATAGAATACAATTCAAAACATATTTGCACTGTAATTCTGGATAAAATATACATAGTAAATCTTATTAAAAAACTTAAAAACAAAGCATTATCCTGAGTAATGGTTAAAATCTCATTATAGAAAAATGCTCATCATTTCTCAAAGAACTAAAACTAGAGGTTCCTTTTGACCTAGCCATACCTCTTTGAATTGTCCCAAAAAGAGTTAAAAACTTCATTCCACAGTGATAATATGCACACTCATGTTTATAGCAGCATAGTTTGTAATAGCTAAAGCTTAGAAACATCCTACATGTCCATCATCTGATAAATGGGTAAAGAAGGAGTTTTTTATATACAATGAAGTACTACTCTGCCATAAAGAAGGATGAGATTCAGACATTTCTAGCCGAATGGATGGACCCTGAGAACATACTCTTATGTGAAATAAATTGGACACATATGTTTAAATACCAGATTATTTCTCTGGTGTGAAAAACTGAATGTGGAGATAAGAACTAAGATGTAATGGATGTTGGGAAATGGGAAGAAAGTGTTCAAATGGGAAGGGGAACAAGGGAGGAGGGAGGGAGAAAGGAAGGAAGGGACAAGAAAAAGTGAAAGTAGGAGGAAAAAAGTGGAAACAAAGCTTTAGTATATAGGGAGAGAAGGGGACTTGGAGGGAAAGGGAACAAAACAAAAAAAATTAAAAAGAAAAAAGTGCTCATCATTTGTAATTATTGGTAGAAAGCTGTGAGGTCGAAAGATTTTGTTGGGGGAGAGAATGGGAAGACATCTAATGCAATCATTCATTTAAAATTTGTTCAAAATGTTCATAAGTTTGTAACTGGCTGTTTATAGTGTCTTAAAACATTTTACCATGAATATAGTTTATATTGTTTCTCAAAATGAGATCCAAAGGCCCTAAAGAATTCTAATGTGGGCCCAGTAATATATATTATAAAAAAACTTCTGATGTGATTATTCTACATTTTTAAATGCCCTATGGGAAAGAGCAATGCTTAAAAGAAAAATCATGAACATAAACATAACTTTTGACATGTCAGAATTGCATATAGGTTTATGACGTGAATATTGTTTTTTGTTTTAAAGCAAGTTCCAGGCATTAAGGGAAACATGTATACCTTTCAAATTAACATGTGAATATATATAAACATTTTCCTTTGAGGTTCTCATTACTTTCAAACTTAGTTATTTGAAGAAAAGACAGAATATGGCTATAAGCTTTGGAAAGATTACATTTCTAATGAAATGGAGCATCCAAAAAAAAAAGCTAAAAAGATGATTTTTTAATTGCCTACACATTTTAATTCATTCTAACTTTAAAACTAAAATTACATTTTGCTAGGATTGTACCTTTGTAATATATTTAGATGATCATGGTTATTTTTGAAGTCTGCATAAAAAGTGCTAAAATAAAGGGAAGAATTCTGTATGTAGAAATTATTTAAATCAATTGCTAACTACTAATTTTAATAAAAATAGTCTGAATAGTTCTTCCCCTGAAATGAATTCTACTATCTATTTCATATATTACTCTACTAAATAAAAAATTTAAGGTGGGCTGGGGATTTAGTTCAGTGGTTCCGCTGCCTGCCTTGTAAACGCAAGGACCCGAGTTTGATCCCTGGGACCAAAACAAACATACAAACAAAAAGCTGAAGGTGATAGAACTCTGATATATGTATGTTCTGTAGATTTATTCAAAATTGTTATTACACTTTGGATTTCCCTGAAGACTACATAAACTGGGGCCTAAAAGTGCAAGTAATGTGGTTTGAGAGAAACAAGCATGGTTAAGTCATTCTGCTTAAAATACAAATTGTTTTCCTGCAAAGTAAATAACAACAACAAAAAAATAGTATACACTCTGTCTTTAATTAATAAATGAAAGAATATGTTTACAAATTTGGTTAACAAGTGAGCACCTCTTCATTATTGAAGTCAGATCACAAAAAGCAACTTCATTTACAAAAACCCCAGTCAGTGTTCTTTATTGTAGACTATAAGAATCAAGTATTATATCTAAATGTAACTTCCAAAAATAAATTAAAATAATGAAATGGTTAATTCCATTCAGGCTGATGACAAGTTTTTCTATTCATTAAGTAGCAGCATAAGCAGAATGCATAGCTGAAAAAGGAGGGTCAGACACACTCTTATTATACCGAAAGAGGATTGATAAACTCAAAATTTACAAATTCATCCTCATAGTATCACTATCATCTGGAGTGAGCTGGACAGGTTCCTTAGTAAACTGAGGATCAGAGTTGTCCAAACCAAATTCCCCAGGAATTTTTGGTTTGAATGGAGGCACTGCCTGCTTTTGTTCTATCCTGTCCTGTCTCCATCAACATTTTGAAAGAATGGATGCTCCGGAACATCATTGGATCCTGTTTGAGGATGCCAACCTGAGCATTCTCTTGGGTCCTTGCGCTTGAAAATTCTCCGTGACATGTGCAGCTTTTTCAGTAGTACACAGTATGTGAGTTTTTCTTTCCAAAATAACTTGCAAGAGATAATCTCTTGAGTTTTCATAAAGGTTGTCAGAGGTTTCAACAATATGGAATGGAGATTTTCCTACCCTCATTTCAAACATTACTACTCTGAGAGTCCACCAGTTGACATTGAAACTGTACCGTTCTTCTCTTATAATTTCTGGAGGAAAGTAATTAGGAGCACCATGGAAAGTCCTGGTCATATCTCTTGGCTGTAATCCTTCCTTACACATGCAGTAGTCAGTGAGTTAGTGTGCTTTTCTGAGTCCAGTAATAAATTAGCCAGTTTGAAGTTTCTATAAAGTGTCCCTCACTCATGAAGACAGTTGAATGCTAAACTGACTTCTGCAGAATAAAACCTGGCATGTTCTTCGGGTTGTATTCTTCACTGCTGCGTGGAAAACATTATTTCTTCCATTTACATAGTCTAGAGCAAACAATAATCTGCTTTCTGTCTGAAAGCAAGAATGAAATCCAACAAGAAAAGGGTGTTTAGATGCCTTCTCCAAAACATGCTTCTCTGTCTGTACTCAATCAGTATTAACAAGCTCCTTTTTCACAACTTCCACTGCATAAATATGTTCTGTTTTTAAAAATTGAACCCACTGCACTTTGCATAACTTCCACTCCTTATTACCTGGAGCAAATAAAAATCCTGGAGACCTAAACTGGATGAAGCTTTGCCTCACGTCATGTTCACTGCCTCCTTTTCCTCAGCAACTTGGTCCAAACTCTCATAACGTTAAGGATTATATGGAGTCATTGTGCAGGGCCTGAAGCTGTTGCTGGTTGATCCATTGGCATCATAGGCTCTGATGGCACAGAATGCTGCCCACATTCAATTATGACGGATTTGTGGTACTACTTATGAACCAAGAGTTTGTAGTTGATATTCTTGTATACCTGGCCTCCAAGTCCCTCTATTTGGTTTGTTCAGATGGAACAATGAATGCACCTGCTGAAATTTTTGGCTTGAAAAGTGTGGCCATTCGCACAACAAAGCTTTCTCTAAAGCTGTGCACCTCTGTGGTAGTTGGACTTACCTTCTCCTGAACAAAAGTTATCTGGATGTTATCTGATGCATGACTTAAGAGTTCAAAATCCTTGTTTAGCTCAGGAATCCTAAAGGCTTCTTCCAACTGCAGTGGAGGTGATCAGTACATGTGTCTCCTTTCTCTTCTACTGATGTCATGATGAATAGCTGTTCATTGTCAAAAGAACATGGGTCTCAAACTTCATCACAGAGGCCCTCAAAGGAGATGGAAATCTCAAAGTGTATTATCATGGTATCTCTTCCCATTATCAGCACCTGTTGGGTAGAGATGTGAGTCATGAAGGTGCTTGGAAAGAAGGGACCATAGAAGGGTTGCCTGCCCTGGAAAATTGGCACCAAGGGCTCCATGAGCAAGCGTGGCCTCACTGCCTTCACCGACCACATTAGCTAGGTTTCTTCAAGGTTCCCTGCCAAGTTATTTTCAGTAGTGGTGGCTGGGCCTGCGTGGACATACAGTAGGCTTCTCAGTGTCGCTCAAGAGATGGTGGCCTGTGACTTTGATCTGTCCG